GGTCAGTTTAGTTTGAGACCACTGTGGCCCACAGGGCAAAACCCTGCCTTTACTAAAAATGCAAAAGTTAGCTGGGTTGTGGTGATGGGTGCCTATAATCCCAGCTACTCTGGAGGCTAAGAAAATGGCTCGAGTCCAGGAGGTCGAGGCTGCAGTGAGCTGAGATCGCACCACTACACTCCAGCCTGGGTGACAAAGTGAGACTCTGTCTCAAAAAAAAAAAAAAAAAAAAAGTCAAAACTAACTTCTAGGAAGCAACTATCCTTTTTTAAAATAGAGGCAGAGTCAGGCCTGGCATGGTGGCTCATGCCTGTAGTCCCAGCACTTTGGGAGGCCAAGGCGGGCAGATCATGAGATCAGGAGTTCGAGACCAGCCTGGCCAACGTGATGAAACCCCATCTCTACTAAAAATACCACAATTAGCTGGGTGTGGTGACAGGTGCCTGTAATCCCAGCTACTCAGGAGGCTGAGGCAAGAGAATCATTTGAACCTGGGAGGCAGAGGTTGTAGTGAGCCGAGATTGCACCATTGCACTCCAGCCTGGGCAACAAGCGTGAAACTCTGTCTCAAAAAAAAAAAAGAAAAAAGAGGCAGAGTCTCACTGTGTTGCTGAGGCTGGTCCCAAACTCTTGGACTAAAGAGATCCTCTCTCTTCTGCCTCCTAAATGCTGGGATTACAGGTATGAACCATCGTGCCAGGCTGCAACTATCTTTTTTGAGAGCAGACAGGCTGTTTTCTGGGCACTTTGGGTGAGAGGAGTTGCTGGGAACTGATCTGGGAGAGAAAGCATCTTGTAGGAGGCCCCTTGACAGGAGCCCTTTGGAGCTTCTGAGGCAAAACATGAAAAGGAGAAATTGGCTGAGCACGATGGCTCATGCCTATAATCCCAGCATTTTGGAAATCGAGGTGGGCAGATCACCTGAGGTCAGGAGTTCAAAACCAGCCTGGCCAACATGGTGAAGCCCCATCTCTATTAAAAGTACAAAAATTAGCTGGTGTGGTGGCTGGCGCTGTAATCCCAGCTACTCTGGTGGCTGAGGCAGGAGAGTCGCTTGAACCCGGGAGGCGGAGATTGCAGTGAGCTGAGGTTGCACCATTGCACTCCAGTCTGGGCCACAAGAGCGAAACACCATCTCAAATAATAGATAGATAGATAGATAGATAGATAGATAGATAGATAGATAGATAGATAACTTGTGAATGTCAAGAAAATTAGGTACTGCAATCAGCTTCATTTCCATCCTTGGGCTGTAGCTGGAGTTGTATCAGAGGGAGAAGCCCCTGGTGGCTTTTTGTTTGTTTTGTTTTTTTGAGACAGTCTCGCACTATCGCCTAGGCTGTAATGCAGTGGTGCGATCCCGGCTCACTGCAACTTCTGCCTCCCGGGTTCAAGCGATTTTCCTGTCCCAGTCTCCCAAGTACCTGGGATTACGGCACCCCCCACCATGCCTAGCTAATTTTTTTGTATTTTTAGTAGAGATGGGGTTTCACCATGTTGGCTAGGCTGGTCTCGAACTCCTCACCTCGTGATTCACCTGCCTCAGCCTCCCAAAGTGCTGAGATTACAGGCATGAGGCACCGCGCCCAGCCCTGTGTGGCTTTTTAGGCCCCAGGACCATAGGCTTCCCACCACATCTGCCCCTGGGTAGCCACATACAGTTCCAGGAACATCTAAAGAGCCAAAGATATTGATTTCCCAGGGACATGCTTGGATGCTTGGGCCGTGACACCCTTGCCAAACCTGGCAGGAACATAGTAGTTAATTTTTTTTTTTTTTGGAGACGGAGTCTTCCTCTGTCGCCCAGGCTGGAGTGCAGTGGTGTGATCTCAGCTCACTGCAACCTCCCCCTCCTGGGTTCATGCCATTCTCCCGCCCCAGCCTCCCGAGTAGCTGGGACTACGGGCACCCGCCACCATGCCTGGCTAGTTTTTTGTATTTTTAGTACAGATGGGGTTTCCCCGTGTTAGCCAGGATGATCTTGATCTCCTGACCTCGTGATCCACCCACCTTGGCCTCCCAAAGTGCTGGGATTACAGGCGTGAGTCACTGCACCCGGCCTAATTTTTTTTTTTAAACCTTAGGAATAAATTAAGAAACGATATCTTTTTCTGATGATCCCCAGAGACAGGCAGTGTAATTTTTAATTAACCCAGTCTTATTAGGAGATAAGTTTACTCTTCATTCTACAAAGACACTTAACTCATGGAACACTGAGTCACTCTGACCCTTGACTTTATTACACAAAATGAAATACTTCTGAAGAAATACAGAATTTCTTAACTCGTAGCAGGATCAAAGAACAAAGGGTCCTGCTTTCGCATTTCAAAGTTGGACACAGTTCTCAAAAAGGCCACAAATACTTATGGAGTCTCAACTCTAAATTAAAATGACTAATCATTAAACTGTTCAACTTAGAGTAATAAAACATGTCTAGACACAGACCCCTCTGGCCTATAGTCAGTCTGGGAAGGGTTAGAAAGAACCAACCCTTTGTGTGGCTGGGCTCCTTCCATATCTTCCTTGCACAAGCAATGAAACCCAGCAGGGAAAGCAGTGGAGCTGGCAGAAGGCAGAGTGAGAAGACACCCAGTGAGGACTGAAGGGAGAGGAGAGGCCAGGGCAGCCTCAGGTACAGCTCATACCTTAACTTCCTTGGCCTCAGAGAGGGCTGCTGTGATTGCCCGTGGCTCCCTACAGGCCACAGGAGGCCCTTGGTCTGGAAATGAGAGTGAGAGCAGTTTAGGCTGGTGTCTGGCAGCCCTGCTATAGGTGTCCCAGGAAAATTCAACTCCTCCATAATGAGATTTTGATGGGACACACATCCCTGAAAATAATGTAAAAAATAAGAAACAAGAACCATTGCTTTCTACAGTGGTCCACTCAGCGGCCCCAATGTTATTTACTGTACTAGCTTGGAAATGGGCAAATTCTGGAAACTATCCAACCCATGAGGATTTTCCCCTTCATATAATACAGGAAAGGGAAAAACCAGTTTGAATGGGTTGTTTATTCAAAATCATCTTGTGAGAGCCTTAGGAACTAAAAAGATGGTATCTGATTTTCATGTTTTTGTTTTTTTTTTTTTTTTTGAGACAGAGTCTCACTCTGTCACCCAGGCCGGAGTGCAGTGGCATGATCTCGGCTCACTGCAACATTTAACTCCCGGGTTCAAGTGATTCTTCTGCCTCAGCCTCCAGAATAGCTGGGACTACAGGTACGTGCCACCATGCCCAGCTAATTTTTGTATTTATTTTTTTTGAGACAGAGTCTCGCTCTGTCGCCCAGGCTGGAGTGCAGTGGCGCAATCCTGGCTCACTGCAAGCTCCGCCTCCCGGGTTCATGCCATTTTCCTGCCTCAGCCTCCTGAGTAGCTGGGACTACAGGCGCCCGCCACCACACCCGGCTAATTTTTTTGTATTTTTAGTAGAGACGGGGTTTCACCGTGGTAACCAAGATGGTCTCGATCTCCTGATCTTGTGATCCGCCCGCCTCGGCCTCCCAAAGTGCTGGGATTACAGGCGTGAGCCACCGCACCCGGCCTAATTTTTGTATTTTTAGTAGAGGTGGGGTGTCACCATATTGGCCAGGCTAGTCTCGAACTCCTGACCTCGTGATCCACCCACTTCGACCTCCCAAAGTGCTGGGATTACAGGTGGGTGCCCTGATTTTCTTTCTTTCTTTCGAGATGGAGTCTCGCTTGCTCTGTTGCCCAGGATGGAGTGCAGCAGTGCGATCTCGGCCCACTGCAAACTCCTCCTCCCCAACTCGGGTTCTTGCCATTCTCCTGCCTCAGCCTCCTGGGTAGCTGGGACTACAGGTACTTGCCACCACGCCTCGCTAGTTTTTTTTTTTTTTTTTTTTTTTTTGTATTTTTAGTAGAGACAGGGTGTCACTGTGTTAACCAGGATGGTCTCAATCTTCTGACCTCGTGATCCACCTGCCTCGGCCTCCCAAAGTGCTGGGATTACAGGCGTAAGCCACCACTCCTGGTCCCTGATTTTTCATTTTTAAGAGACAGGGTCTTGGTCTGTCACTCAGAGGGGAGGTACAGTAGCACAATCATAGCTCACTGTAACCTCAAACTCCTGGGCTCAAGTGATCCTCCCATCTCAGCCTTCCAAGTAGCTGAGACCACAGGTGCATGCTGCCACGTCCGGCTAATTTGTTTTTGTTTGTTTTTGTTTTGTAGAGATGGGGTCTCACAGGCTGGGCGCAGTGGCTCACGTCTGTAATCCCAGCACTTTGGGAGGCTGAAGTGGGCGGATCACCTGAGGTTGGGAGTTCAAGACCAGCCTGACAAATACAGAGAAACCCCATCTCTACTAAATATACAAAATTAGCCGGGCATGGTGGCGCATGCCTGTAATCCCAGCTACTCGGGAGGCTGAGGCAGGACAATCGCTTGAACCCGGGAGGTGGAGGTTGCAGTGAGCCAAGATCACACCATTGCACTCCAGCATGGGTAACGAGAGTGAAACTCCTTCTTAAAAAAAAAAAAAAAAGAGATGGGGTCTCACCATGTTGTCCAGGTTAGTCTTGAGCTCCTGGCCTCAAGCAATCCTGCCTCAGCCTCCCCAAGTGCTAGGATTACAAGTGTGAACCACTGTGCCTGGCCTCTATTTCATTTCATAAGTAAACTTAAACTGGGACATCAGTTTGATAAACTTGAAAGAAAAAATAGGCCAGGCGCAGTGGCTTAAGCCTGTAATCCCAGCATTTTGTGAGGCTGAGGCAGGCGGATCATGAGGTCAGGAGTTCGAGACCAGCCTGGCCAACGTGGTTAAACCCCGTCTCTACTACTAGAAATACAAAAATTAGCTGGGTATGGTGGTGGGTGCCTGTAATCCCAGCTACTCGGGAGGCTGAGGCAGGAGAATTGCTTGAACCTGGGAGGCAGAGGTTGCAGTGAACTGAGATCACACCACTGCACTCTAGCCTAGGTGACAGAGCAATACTCTATCTCAGGGGGGAAAAAAAAAGAAAAAAATATATATATATGCTTTTAAATGTTTTATTTCTGATAACAAAAAATACATATGTGTTGCAAAAATTCAAAAAACTTCAGCAAGATATAAATGGAAAGCCAAAGTCCCATATAAGCCCACTGCTCTTCAGAAATAATACAAGGTCTACAATATTATTAGTTTTAAGAAAGTGCTTGAAAAACAGGACAAGGGAAAAAGCAGCGAGGAAGAAAAATGGCTTGTGAGCAGTGATGCTCTGGACATTTGCTAGTGCATGTCACCTCTTTCACTGTCAGGCTTATCATTTTCTCTGTTCACAAGAAGATATAGGGTGTCCTGTAATATGTCTACTGATCAAAAAATGCAAACACTCTGACAGCATAAGTGGCTAAAAATAAGAAAGAAAAAAATCCTGAGGCCTGAAAATGTACTGGTCATGTGTAGGGAATATTTTAAAGACCCAAAAGTGTTGTTTGGAGTCATGCTGCCACAGCAAGTTTTATGAGAGCCCTTCTGCTACACAGTATTCCGTAAGGAGGCCTGCCCGCCTTTCACCAAGTACAGGCACCCAGGGGCTCCAGATGCACCACAACCAGGCTGCTGCCTCAGCTCTCATCACCACCATTTTCACATTTCATTCCAACAAATAAGGATGCACTTAATCCTTGTCGTGGGCAGCACCTGGTACCCAAAGTGCTGGACCTTCCCTCCCCTCGTGCCCACTGACCCCACCTCAGCAGGGCCTCTGACCCTAGGGTACTTGGCAGGCTTCAGGGACTTTCTGCTCTTGGCCAGCCCAAATGTCCTGCAATTTGTCTTTCTAGCTGAGACCAATAAATTAACTGTGGGCTGGTCAGAAGCCATCATCATCACTGCTATCAAAACCCAGGTCATAGAGCAAATTCTTTCCTGCCTCCTTGCATAGAGGGGTCTCTGAACATCCAAGATTGAGGTCACTGAACCAGCTCATCTGGTGGTCCCCCTGGGAACTGCTGGAAAGTAGCCTGTTGTCTTGGGAAGAGCATCTGCTGAACTGCAAGAGTCTTCCCTGCACTGCCCTTGCTGTCTTATTGGGCATGACTGTTCCTCCCAGAATAGGGAAGACTGGTTTTCTGGGGCTCCTGGGATACTGCAGATGCAAAGGCTTAGCATGGGGTTCCTGCTGCCCCAGGAAGGGCCTTTGTGGGACAGAAATTGCAGGCTGAGGACTCTGATATTTGGAATTGAATTTACAGGTCTGGTTTGGGATTTGTTTCTGCTTCCTGGCTAGGAGCCTGCCTCTGTGGGCCCTGTGGGCCTTCCTGGGCTGCTGCTTCTTGTCTTTCCCCTGCATTTCTTCAGTCCCATCTTTCTGTTTAGTCACCAAATGTTCACGTGGGTCACACAAAAACATACTTTGGGCTTGATATTTTTGGCAGGCATTCTTAATGCTGGTTGAAAAGTTGTTTATCTCCAGTGATGTGAGCTGTGAGGCTCCTTGGGAAACCAGGTCCCTGTCACTAGGAATCTTATGGCCTTGGATGCTGGAACCACAGTTCTTGGCACCTGTTTTAATAACAGCCCAGTTCTTGCAGTTAGTCTGCACTGCCTTGTCCTTTACATGCCTATTTCTTTCATGGGACACAAATGCTGGCAGTGCAGCCTCTTCTTGGAGAGCATCATTCTTTGCTCCTTCACCCCAGACACCAAATTCTCCAGGCTGTAGGGAACCCATACCAGGATTCCATGCAGCAGGGAGGGCCTGGGCCTGCCATAAAACTGGCTTCTCAAAGGTGTATTTTTCCTGCCCGGTGAGATTGAGGTTCTGGGCCAAAGGTGGTGACGTCTGAGAAGCGCTGTCTTTTACATGCCCAGGTACTGGAGGCACTGAGATCAATCTCTTCAGCTCTGCTAGGACACTGGGCACATTCAGCTGGCCTAGCTGCTCACACAGCTGCTGGAATTCCTGACTCTGTTGAGCAACTAAAACTTCAAGGTGCTTCAGGTTGGACTTCATTTCTATAAACTCTGCTTGTCTCTGGGGAGAGAGGCAGTGAGAAAGACAGTGATGGACAGTGCAAGTCAGAAAGCACAATAAACATGAGAACAGACCACTGGATGTGACCGCAGAACCACAGCTTGCTCCCTGTAGGGAACCTCCCAGGGTAAGCAAAACTCCACTTTGGAGTTGAACTCCTGGGGCCCACATCATGTCAAGGAACCTTGGGAAAGGAAGCTAGCCTATATGCTGGCCCCTTTCCAAGTGGCCTGTGCTGGCCTCTGGTCTTAGCTGAAAATTTGCAACTTTAAAGGTTTCTCAGCCGGGTACGGTGGCTCACGCCTGCAATCCCCAGCACTTTGGGAGACTGAGGCAGGTGGATCATGAGGTCAAGAGATTGAGACCATCCTGGCCAACATGGTGAAAAACCCCATCTCTACTAAAAATACAAAAATTAGCCAGGTGTGGTGGTGTGCACCTTTAAGTCCTAGCTACTCGGGAGGCTGAGGCAGGAGAATTGCTTGAACACGGGAGGTGGAAGTTGCAGTGAGCCAAGATCGTGCCACTGCACGACAAAGCGAGACTCCGTCTCAAAAAAAAAAAAAAAAAAGTTTCTCTCTGGATCTGGTTACAAAGCCCAAAACACACTTGGAAAGAGGTTGGGGTTTACACTTACAGCTTCAGATCTTTTCTTCATCTCAAGGATGGCCTGCTCCATGTTGCCTTTGTCCTGGACTGCCTCAAACACCAGGTCATTCTGGGCCTGCACAGTCTCTTGTACTAAATACAAAACAATGACAATTTACCTCCTGAAGACTATGTATGCATCTGCCCAAACCACAGAACCACAGCAGTGAAAAGGGAGGAGCTGGATGCAGACCAGAGTGGTTCCTCCAGGTTCTCTTTCCCTCCCTCCTTGACAAGATCCTGGCTAGGGCAGACGTAACCTCAGCACCTCCTGGGGACTCTGAGAATGGGGACTCTGAGACAACAGCACAAACCTCTGTGGCCTTCCTTCTTGGCCCTGTCATCAGAGTGATCTTTGTAGAATGTAGGTATCATCATGCACCCTCTGAAACCTTCATTGAAACATTTTCTTTTTTTTTTTTTTTTGAGACAGACACTAACTCTGTCACCTAGACTGGAGCACAGTGACACGATCTTGGTTCACTGCAACCTCCACCTCCCAGGTTTGAGCGATTCTCCTGCCTCAACTCCCAAGTAGCTGGGATTACACACGTGTGCCACCACACCCGGCTAATTTTTGTATTTTTAGTAGAGATGGGGTTTCACCATGTTGGCCAGGCTGGTCTTGAACTCCTGACCTCAGGTGATCTGCCCGCCTCAGCCTCCCAAAGTGCTGGGATTACAGGCATGAGCCACTGTGCCCAGCCCATTGAAACTTTCAATGGCACCCCACTGGCCACTGAACAAAATCTAAATCTTTAAATTGGCTAACAAGATCTGGGCTCACTTCCCTTTACCCATTTGTCCTCCTCCACATCACTGGACTCTGTTTTCTCTCTCACCATTGGCCTTTGTGCAAAGTCTTCCCTTAGCTTCAAGTACCCTGCTTCTGTCCCTGTCATCCCCCCGACCCACCAATCGCCACCTTAGTCCAGCTAATTCCTGTTCTTCCGTCTACTTTCAGCAGTAACCTCCTCAGAAAATACCATTTCCACTCGGCTAGGGTGTTGCTTCTCTCTGCTGGTAGCACCGTGTATGTGCCCTACCATCATTTATTGCCCTCCATTTATTTATCCCATACTTACACTTGGACCCAAATAGACTTGGGGACCTAGGTGCTAACTACATCAGGACTGATACTGATTTCCCTCTTTTACACAGTGAGATTCTGCACATACACACACACATTTAATGACACAATGTGTTGCAATTTATTGCCATCCTCTTGCTAGACTACAGGTCATATGAGGATGCTTTTATATTTATTCAATGAATGTTTAATGAGCATATACTATGTGCCAGGCACTGTGGATATAATAGTTATCAAAACAGATAAAGCTAGCCGGGCGTGGTGGCTCACGCCTGTAATCCCAGCACTTCAGGAGGCTGACACGGGCAGATCACCTTAGGTCAGGAGTTCGAAGCCAGCCTAACCAACATGGTGAAATCCTGTCTCTACTAAAAATAGAAAAATGAGCCAGGCATGGCGGCAGGTGCCTGTAGTCCCAGCTATTCAGTTGGCTGAGGCACAAGAATTGCTTGAACCTGGGAGGTAGAGGTTGCAGTGAGTTGAGATCCTGCCATTGCACTCCAGCCTGGGTGACAGAGCGAGACTTCGTCTAAAAAAAAAAAAAAAAAAAGACAAAGCCCTCTTGAAATTGCAATCTTAGGGAAAACAGGTAGTTAATGACTAATTATACAAATAACTATAAATGTAATAACTGCTCTAAAGGAAAAGTATATTGTGCTTGAGACCATGTAACATGTAGACTTAGTCACTCTCAGGGTTAAGATTTCCCTAAGAAACTGTTATTTAGCTGAATTATCATAAAACTGTAAGGGAAAGAATATTACCAGCAGAAGAAAGAGCATGTTCCAAACAGAGGAACTGAGATCAGCATGGCTGAAACATCAGGTGAGCAAGGGGTCCAGGAGCAGGCCACAGCTGAGGGGAGGCAGGTCACAGCTACACAGAGGGGTGTATGGGCCATGGCAAGATTGGTGGGCTTCATTCTTTTTTTTTTTTTTTTTATTTGAGACAGAATCTCATTGTCACCTAGCTGGAGTGCAGTGGCATGATCTCAGCTCACTGCAACCTCTGCCCCCTGGGTTCAAGCAGTTCTCCAGCCTCAGCCTCCGGAGTAGCTAGGATTACAGGCATGCACTACCATGCCCAGCTATTAATTGTATTGTAATAGAGACGAGGTTTTGCCATGTTGACCAGGCTGGTCTCGAACTCTTGACCTCAGGTGATCCACCTGCTTCAGCCTCCCAAAGTGCTGGGATTACAGGCATGAGCCACCACACCTGGCAGAGATAATACACCTTTATCTGAAAGTTTATTGTCAGACACTGTGCTAGGAGCATAGGAAACAATTTTGAACAAAACTGTCTACCTACATGAATTTTTTTTTAATTATTTTTTATTTTTTATTTTTTGAGACTGAGTCTCGTTCTGTTGTGAGGCTGGAGTGCAGTAGTGGAATCTCGGCTCACTGCAACCTCTGCCTCTGGGTTCAAGCGATTCTCCTGCCTCAGCCTCCAAGTAGCTGGGACTTTAGGTGTGTGCCACCACGTCCAGCTAATTTTTGTATTTTTGGTAGAGCCGGGATTCACCATGTTGGCCAGGATGATCTCGATCTCTTGACCCCACGATCCACTGGCTTCGGCCTCCCAAAGTGCTGAGATTACAGGCGTGAACCACCACACCCAGCCGAATTCTACAGTCTAGAAGAGGGAAAAAATAATAAACAGGCTGGCCAGGCGCAGTGGCTCAAGCCTGTAATCCCAGCACTTTGGGAGGCCAAGATGGGCGGATCACTAGGTCAGGAGATCGAGACCATCCTAGCTAACACGGTGAAACCCCGTCTCTACTAAAAAAATACAAAAAACTAGCCGGGCGTGGTGGCGGGCGCCTGTAGTCCCAGCTACTCAGGAGGCTGAGGCAGGAGAATGGCGTAAACCTGGGAGGCAGAGCTTGCAGTGAGCTGAGATCCGGCCACTGCGCTCCAGCCTGGGCGACAGAGCAAGACTCCGTCTCAAAATAATAATAGTAATAATAATAATAATAATAATAATAATAAACAGGCTGGGCACAGTGGCTTACACCTATAATCCCAGCACTTTGGGAAGCCACTGAGGTGGGAGGATTGCTTGGGCCCAGGAGTTCTAGACCAGCCTGGGCAACACAGTGAGATCCTGTCTCTATAAAATGAAAAATAAAAATTAGCTAGATGGGGTGGTGTGTGTCTATGGTCCTAGCTACTCAGGAGGCTGAGGTGGGAGAATTGCTTGCTCCCAGGAGGTCAAGACTACAGTCAGCTGTGATTGTGCCACTGCACTCCAGCTTTGACGACAAGGCGAGACCCTATCTCAAAAATAAAAAAAAGAAAGCAGTAAGAAATGGTACATTTATGTTATGTGTATTTTACCACAATTTTTTTTTATACTTTATGTTCTAGGGTACATGTGCACAACCTGCAGGTTTGTTACGTATGTATACATGTGCCATGTTGGTGTGCTGCACCCATTAACTCGTCATTTACATTAGGTATATCTCCTAATGCTATACCTCCCTCCTCCCCCCACCCCACAACAGGCCTTGGTGTGTGATGTTCCCCTTTCTGTGTTCAAGTGTTCTCATTGTTCAATTACCACAATTTTTAAAAAGTGGGTCCAGGGCTGCACCACCCCACTGGCAATGCTGGCTGCCTTCTGGAAACTGCATATGCCTCACTCCCTCAGTGTGTAAATTAACAAACACTAATGGATAACAACAGAAAATGGCATGAAAACAGTAGGAATCAGCAATTTTTCACAGGAAGTTTTGGGAAATGTTTACTGTAGTCTCCCTACAGTTGGGAAAAAATTGAACAAACAAGATGAATTTGGTGGCAGGGCGTGGTGACTCATGCCTGTAATCTCAGCACTTTGGGAGGCCACAGAGGGTAGACCACCTGAGGTCAGGAGTTCAAGACCAGCCTGACCAACATGGAGAAACCCCGCCTCTACTAAAAATATAAAATTAGCCAGGTGGCACATGCCTGTAATCCCAGCTACTCAGGAGCCTGAGGCAGGAGAATCTCTTGAACCTGGGAGGCGGAGGTTCCAGTGAGCTGAGATTACGTCATCACACTCCAGCCTGGGCAGTAAGAGTGAAACTCCGTCCCCAAAAAAAAAAAAAAAAGATGAATTTGGTGCTTTGAAAAATGTGAAAGCTGCTAAAGAACTCTATTCTCAAATAGCAGAAGTAACCAAAATTAATGAAGCTCTTGTAGAACATACTGGACTTGTAAACAAATCTTATGAAGATGGTTGGCTGATCAAGGTGACACTAAGTAACCCTTCAGAACCACATGAACTAATGAGTGAAGAAGTATATAAAAACTAAGTAGGACGGGCATGGTGGCTCACGCCTGTAATCCCAGCACTTTGGGTGGTCGAGACGGGCAGATCAGCTGAGATCGGGAGTTCGAGAACAGCCTGACCAACATGGAGAAACCCCATCTCTACTAAAAATATAAAAATTAGCCGTGTGTGGTGTCGCACGCCTGTAGTCCCAGCTACTCAGGAGGCTGAGGCAGGAGAATCGTTTGAACCCAGGAGGCAGAGGTTGCGGTGAGCTGAGATCACGCCATTGCACTCCAGCCTGGGCAACAAAAGCAAAACTCCATCTCAAAAAAAAAAAAAACAAAAAAAAAAACTAAGGCCAAGTGCAGTGGTTTATGCCAGTAATCCCAGCACCTTGGGAAGCTGAAGCTGGCGGATCACAAAATCTGGAGATTGAGACCTTCCTGGCCAGCATGGTGAACCCTGTCTCTACTAAAAATACAAAAATTAGCTGGGCATGGTGACACACGCCTGTAGTCCCAGCTACTCGGGAGACTGAGGCAGGAGAAACACTTGAACCTGGGACGCAGAGGTTGCAGTGAGCTGAGATTACGCCACTACACTCCAGCCTGGTGACAGAGAGAGACTCCATCTCAAAACAAAAACAAAAACAAAATTAGCCAGGCATGGTGGCATGTGCCTGTAGTCCCAGCTACTCAGGAGGCTGAAACAGGAGAACCACTTGAACCTGGGAAGGGCAGGTT